AATTCACTTTTATATATTATATAGATAATACTAATATTAATCACAAATTCTGATTTTGCAACAATTTTTTTTTGCAATGATATATTATTTAGTATAAAAAAAATTATATTCAATCTTGAACCTTTATATCAAATTTCTTAGGTGTGGCAGTTGAACCATAAAAAACACATATGAATATGTTAGAAATTAATATTTAATTATATTATCAAACTGACATTAAAATTATTTAAAATATTATAAGGGTATAAGTAAGCGTTAAGACGTAAAAGAACAATAATCATTGTTAATAAGATAAATTATGAAAATTCTCTTGAACTTAGGTGAAATTACAGAAAACACCCCCACTTATCGGTGATTATACCAAACCCCCCTGATGTTTGTTTCTGTCTTACACGACCCCCTTATGGTGTGATTTTTTTACGGAATCTTTTTTATTCCATGTAATGTCCCAAAAAATATGGAGTCCACCATTGCAGACGTGACATTTCTTTTATAGTACTTTTTAAACTAAAAAGTTACCCTCAGGGTTGTCATGGTAATAATAAAAAATTGTGAAAGTGTTATTTAAGAAGAATAAAGATTTCGTGTAAAGTTCACCTGAGGGTAATTTTTGTCTTTAAAAATTACCATAAAGAAATGTCGTGTGTGCAGGGTATAATAAGCATTATTGGAATATTCCACGTAATAATCCTTGAAAATCATACCATAAGGGGGTCGACGTAAGACGGAAACAAACATTAGGGGAATTATTAATATAAACTATTTACGGCAAGAGCATTCGAGTGGGATTATTAAATAAGCTATCAAAACATTTAACCACTATTTTTATACTCTAAGATAGTAATTTTTAATTCTAATAGAGTTATGAATTGAGGTATTTTGACATTTCATCTTTCAAAATGTAAAAAATACATTATGCAATCATGCAGAATAAAATATCAAACATGAGTTATGAATTTAACCACCTCAGTGTCCATTTAGAAAATAACATGTCGCAATTAGATATATTTAATTAACAACTATTTAATACCTATGGTTGAAGAAAATACATTTAGATAAATATCAAAACAAAATATTAAATAGCACATAAATATTTGCGAACTCATTTTGATACTTTTGGGTTGGAGTTGGTGTAGATATTTACTTCATTATATTTATTAGAATTATAATAAAATGCTTATTAGTGGAATACAATATATAGTATATACAATCATTATACATTTTAAACAAAACAATTGATATTCTTAATGTTAGCCATTAAATAAAGTGGATACACAAATTTAATTCCAAAGATTTAGAATTATTATATTTTGAAATATATAAAATCAATTCGTTTTTTTATGAATTGATTGAACTTAACTTAGGTTATTCAATTTATTAGTATAATCATAATAAAATTTGTATTTTAATTAGTATATAATTAAAAAGGTTAAATCAATCGTAAAGTTTATTGTCACTGGAATCAGTGAAGAAAAAATAATTATTTAAATAATAACATGAAATTTATGTATTATAATTTTCAATATGGTAAATAATTGGGAGTACATTACTCTACACATGGAATAACAAATAGTGTCAATTTTCGCAAGATAGTCAATTCAAACATGTATCTTTCTTTTTTACAGATAATATTAATATATAATATTAAATTAGTAAAAAAATACATATTCTCTGGTCATGTTCATGTAAAATGTATAATATCAAATAATTTATTATGCAATATGTTTTTTTAATATAAATCCAATTTTATGAATTAAAATTTAAAAAAATTCGTAACACCGCCAATCATGCAATTATAATAAGGGAAGATTTTAAATCGAATTTAACTAAATTCAAATTAAATTAATTATAAAATTAAATTCAAAAATAAATTTATTTAGGGTTTCGAAGAAAGTTGATATATTTAGAGCATTTTATAAATGGTAGGATATAAATAGATAAATAAAATAATTAAATATATTTAATTACCTTTAATTTTGGAAAATGATGACATGTTTTTTGATGATTTATTTCCACCAATCAATTCGCCACTTGGGATGAAATTGAGGACATGTCATCAATTAAAATTGCCAAATGTCAATCAATTAGCTATGCAATTCAACTTTTATATATTATATAGATAATACTAATATTAATCACAAATTCTGATTTTGCAACAATTTTTTTTTGCAATGATGTATGATATATCCTTTAATATCTTAAACAAGTAAAGATTCTTTAGACCGGAACTTTAATTAAAATCCTTCTTTTATAAATTAACTTCATATATGAATATGTTAGAAATTAATATTTAATTATATTATCAAACTGACATTAAAATTATTTAAAATATCGAGCTCGAGTCCATGTTCCCGAGCTCGAGCTCGAGCTCGAGCTCATCGAGCCAATTTTGTGTGGCTCGAGCTCGAGCTCGAGCCAATTTTGGCGAGCTCGGGCTTATTAATTTTTTTTTATTTATTATTATTATTATTTAATTTTTTTATTAAAATTATTTTTTTTTATTAGAAATTATTCATAGGAAAATAAAAAAAATTATAAAATAAATAATGAACTCTAGTTATATATATTTTTTATTTTTTCTATTATTATTATTATTATTATTATTATTATTATTATAATATTTTATATAATTCTGAATTATTTAAGTAATATAGATTTGTTTCTATTTAAATACTAGATATATTTATTATTATAGACTATTTACTATTTAGTTAATAATAATAATAATAATAATAATAATAATAAGAATAAGAATAATATATATATATATATTATATATATATATATATATATACATATATATATATATATACATATAAAGAAAAAAAAAAAAAAAAAAAAAAAATAGAAGGCAGCTCGCGAGCCGGCTCGCGAGCTGTCGAACAACTAATTTTGGGCTCGAGCTCGAGCTCGTCCGAAGCTCGAGCTCGCGAGCTCGAGCTCGAGCTCGAAAATCCCGAGCTCGAGTTCGAGCTTTTTTCGAGCCGGCTCGTCGAGTTCGCGAACCGGCTCGGCTCGTTTACCACCCCTAATATAAACTATTCCACCTCACTAGTATATATTATATCACATTTCTATCAAGAAATCCTACAACAACTTTCTTTGGTTACTTATATAACTTACATTGTTGCTTTTGCTGCTTAGTTCATTTTACGTATAGTGAAATGGAAAACAACGAAATGATATATCTCCACGGAGATTTGGACCTTGTAATTATCGAAGCTCGACGCATAACAAGCATGGAGTTCGTCTCTGAGCATTTCCGTCGGTTCCTAAAACACCCTTATGTTAAGGTATACCTCGGAGAAGCTAGAGTTGCTAGGACCGCCCGTGTACGAGCACATGACACACAAAATCCCGTGTGGAACGAGCATTTCGAACTCCCATTAGCTCACCCAGTTGATCAGGTAATATAATAATAATTTTATATAGTTTAAGTTGTTTTATTATTATTATTATTATTATTATTATTATTATTATTATTATTATTATTATTATTATTATTATTATTATTGTTGTTGTTGTTGTTGTTGTTGTTGTTGTTGTTGTTGTACATCATTCATGGGAGGCTACCCGATATCAGGTTGGATGATGGGAGAAACTTTGAGCACCAAAAATGTTGGGAGGATATATGTCGTGCAATATTGGAGGCACAAAATTTGGTATATATTGCAGGGTGGTCGATTTATCATAAGGTAATGTTGGTGAGAGAGTCAAGTGAACAGTTGCCGAATGGTGGGGACTTGAGTTTGGGGGAGCTGCTCAAGTACAAGTCTCAACAAGGAGTCAGAGTAGTGCTACTCCTTTGGGATGATAAAACTTCACAAAACAAGTGTTTTTTTAAAAGTGTAAGAAATTCGTTTGCATAGTTACATTTTGTTGTAGAGATTATGTAGAAATTACTGTTGTAGATTATCTTATAATATATGATTGACCAATTCTGATACAGGGAGGACTGATGCAAACTCATGACAAAGAAACTCGAAAATTTTTCAAGCACTCTTACGTCACTTGCGTGTTGGTAATTTTATACCACAGGCATGTTTTACACTTTACTTTATACAAATCAACTCTAGTAATACTAATGCCTTAGTAATCTCGAATTTTGGTTGATTTTCATACAAACCTTAGACAATGATCATTTGTACGTTTTCTTAATGTATTCAGGTTTGTCGAATTTTCTCCAGTCAACATCAGAAATGTGTGATAACAGACACTAAGGGGCATGAAAATAATCGAAAAATAACTGTATTCCTTGGTGGTTTGGACCTCTGTGATGGACGATATGATACACCGGATCATCGATTATATAATGACCTCGACACTGTCTTTAAGGATGACTATCATAATCCAACATTCAGTGTAAGCACTTCATTTAGTATATCTCTAGTTTCAATTCGTCATACTTTTAGTAGCACACTTCCAATAGTTCAAGAAACATGATTTGTGATAAAGAAATAACAAGTGGTATATAATAAATAATAACAATCAGGTGTTCTCGGCTAAGAGCCATCATTCATCCTTTTCTTTTCCCTTTTTCCTTTTTTCTTTTCCTTTTTTTTTTTTTTTTTCTTAAACATATTAACAATGATATTTTATAGTATTTTCCATTTTGTTGGAAAAGAAAATTTGGCATGAATGTTAATTTTATTGTCAGTACTAGTGTGTGGATTTACATTAGAATTCATAATAGACACACCGGTAACTCCATTAAGTTATATCATAATATTACATGTAGTGTAGGTTTTTCATATAATGATTTGTATTTATATTTTTCAATCGAAAGGACAGAAGGGACCAAGACAACCGTGGCATGACTTACATTGCAAAATTGAAGGTCCGGCTGCTTACGATATGCTTAAGAATTTTGAGCAACGGTGGAAAAAAGCCACTGAATGCTCTGATCTTACAAGATTTTGCAAAAAGATACTAGGTCAGCATGATTACAATTTAGTTAATATCGAACATATTTCGCAAATAGCTAGTCCTTCCGGAACTATTCCGAATGACCACCAATCATTGTGGGTCTCCAAGGAAGGTGATCCTGAAAACTGGCATATTCAAGTAATGCAAGTGTTACTATTGTATAAAAAAAATCTCTATTCAAAACTAGGTGATTAAAACTTGATCTTGTGTGTTACTTTAATTTGAACAGATTTTTCGATCTGTGGATTTAGAATCGGTGGACGGGTTTCCCAAAAATGTTCTTGCAGCAAAGGAGCAAGTAAATACGAGTCTTCACTTTTATGACTGGTTTGACTTGTTTAACTTCCTTCTAGTCTTCTAGGAAATAAGTTCATAAATATTTTATTTATTGCAGAACCTTGTGCTTGTAAATAAATGGGCAATAGATAGGAGCATTCAAATGGCATATATCCAGGCAATAAGATCTGCTCAACGCTTCATATTTATTGAGAATCAATATTTTATTGGACATCTTTCGCTTGGCCATCTCATAATAAAGCAGGTAGAGTGCCTGTAAAATATTTATCTTCATTATACAAATGATATACCTTGTGTTCTACAACAATAATTGAGATTTGAATTCCATTAAGATGTATGCTTTAGATAATCTGAAAGATATAGAATGCTCACTTTTAACAACAATAGTAGTTGCCATAAAATTTTAAATATGTAAGTTGGTTTAAGGCAGGTTGTTAATCAAGGTTATTAGCAAGAGATGTTTCAATAGTATTTGGCATAATTTCCATTTGCACCTAACTTTGGGGGTGCAATATGAACTCGACCAAAATATTTGTTAACCATTTAGCCTAATATCTTTCGTTTAATTAACAATTTTTGGAGCTCTTTCTATTGTATTTGTGTTACATAAATGTACCACAATTGTTGGTGCCAGGTCCTAATAATTTAATCCCAATGGAACTGGCGTTAAAGATTGCCAGCAAAATAAGGGCAAATGAGAGATTCGTTGTTTATGTTATCATCCCCATGTGGCCGGAGGGTGAACCTTCTTCTCCCACTGTACAAGGAATTCTTTATTGGCAGGTAATACTTCTGTTTAAGGGCATCAATTGTGTGGTCATCAATTTTTTTAATTATAAAGCATGTTTGAAGAATTAATTGATTCGTTACTTTTGAATCTTTTATTGTCAATGTTTCATGTGTACATTATTTTATGTGGTTATTCACTACTGCAGAGTCAAACAATGCAAATGATGTATAAAATTATTGCCCATGAGCTGAAATCTGTCAATCTCAAGAATGCACATCCAACCGACTATTTGAATTTCTACTGTCTTGGTAATCGAGAGGAAAACCATAAAGAAGAATCGTCTAGCGTAAGTATAAATCGTGTAATTGTCCTTCAATTTGATATGTTTGCATAAGTATTTTGTACGTATTATGTATGAAGTTGCCTCAATTGCAGTGACACTAAGCACTTACACATACACACAAAGTGACCATGTGAGAAATAATTATATGTTACATCTCTACTAATTATTATTTACATTATGCAACTATTTTACACAGAACCCTTATATTACCTTAGTGATCGATCTGTTTATCAATATATATTTTTATTAGAAAAATCATATCCGTTACCATTGATTCGAAGAGAAATCGTCAGACATGTTTATGTCATGGAACTAATATACATGTCTTCGTTTGTTTTTTGTTCAAACATTTTTTTATCTATTTCGAAGTTTAGGCATTTAAAGTTTCAATCTATTATTTTCAATAATATATATTTAAGCACAACTAATAATAGCAGGATTCAGCTTCAGAAGCATTTAGGCGATTTATGATATATGTGCATTCCAAAGGAATGATAGTAGATGACGAGTACGTGATTATTGGTTCGGCCAACATCAATCAACGGTCCATGGCGGGTTATAGGGATACAGAAATTGCGATGGGAGCTTACCAGCCCCATTATACATGGGCCAAGAAGAAAGAACACCCACTTGGTCAGGTTAGTCTTGTCTTTCTTCTTATTTTTTTGCTTTTATATCAAATATAAATGAAGATCCAAAATTTTGAAATCAATATTGACAATTGTAGAAAATTTGATGTTTTAAAATTAGGGGTGTGTATACTTGCAGATATATGTGATACGATCTCTTGAGTATCATAAGATTTCTTTACTAAACGTAAGAAAACTCTTCTTTATTATTTCTCTTCATTATAAAACCCTAGCACAAGACGACTATTTAAAGAGAATAAAACCCTAGAATCCTAATCTAACTAGGAAAGATAATTACCTATCCTAATAAAATACTTAATATCTATCCTAAATACTAAACACACGGTAATATAAAACTACATATACTACTTTAATTAATTAATAATAATAAAATACTAACTAAACAATAAATAAGTAATATATTAAATTATATGTCGTATC